TTTGAGCGTGAAAGTTTGTCCATACAAATACATGAAAAGTACCATATAAAGTATTATTGTAAAAAAATATTCACAAACTATCAGAAAAGTTAAACAATATATTTCTTTAATGCACAATCAGTACTTTTAACGTTTTACTTTGACTTGGAGAAAATTCTCCTCATACTAAAGCTAAATAAACTTTTATCCAAAATATGTAAAAAATTGTATCTGAAAAAAAGAGGAAGGAAATTCTGAAAGTTTTGAGATCTTGAGAAAAAGTCAGAATTTTGAGAAAAAGTCAGAATTTTTAGAAAAAATCAGAATTTTGAGAAAAAATCAGAATTTTGATATTGTATGTGATGACTACTTCCATTCTTGAGAAGATAATGAATACATGGTTCCTGATATTGAAGCTCAAGCCGGAGACCAGTGAGATTTTACTAACAGAAAGATATCAACACTTGATACACATTTTATTGATCATATATTCTACATTAGTTGGGTATTGGATGCAGGACTTGTATATTAATATATATTTCCTGCTCACCCCGATAGCGGCTCCTATCAGCGGGGTTCGCCCCCCCCCGTCCTCGCCGATGCTCCCGTTGACCTCAGACCCCTCGGCCAACGCCGCTGCCATGGCAACCAGATCCCCCGCCATGGCCGCCCGGTACAGACGCCGCCCGGCCGCCGCCTTCCCTGCAGCGTGACGAGAGATAATAACTGGATTTAATGTGACTGGAGGATTGTTGAGTCTTTATACAGATCATCATTATCACGGACCCATCCAGAACTAACTATAAATCCACTTAGAAATCACACAGAGCACACGGAGAGTCATCGTGGTTTAAATATGAAATATTGAGCCTTTATTTTATTTCTAAGACTTTTTTTCCACTTAATATATTTTTATATTTTAACTTAAAAAGTATTGAGGATATTTTTGTCTCAAAAGATTCATTTTTTTTGTTATTAGTCCAAAACATTTTTGGTCAAAATATTAAAAAGAAATATTTATCTTTTTCCTCCTCAAAATATTCAAGTTTTTTATTTCTTTGTTTAGCAAAAATATTTAGCCATTTTTCTCTCAAACAAGTACTTTTTTTCCTTAAAGTATTAAAACGTATTTTCCTAAAAGTATTAATAATAATAATAACTTTAATTGATATAGAGCCTTTCATCAACCCAAGGTCGCTTAACAAAGAAACATATATATATATAACATGAGAATATTTTTGTCTCAAAAGATTCAATTTTTCATTAAAATATAGCTTTTCTTTTCTTTCTGAGAAACTTTTTTTTCTATCAGTCCAAAAATGTTTTGGTCAAAATATTAAGCTTTAAAAAAAAAAAATGAAAGTATAGTTAAAGTATTCAAACATATTTTTCTAAAAGTATTGAGAATATTTTGACTCAAAAGATTCAGTTTTTTAGTTAAAATATTTATTTTTTGTACCTGAGATTTTTTCCAATGAAATGTTCAGTCAAAATATTAAACTTTTTTATTTTTCGGAATATTTTTTGTCCCAAAGATTTATTTAAAAAAATATATATTTAGATTATTAATCTCATTATTTTCACTCAAGAAAAATATCCCCAAAATATTGATTTTTTCTTTTCTTTTCAAAAAATTATTATTTTCTTAAAGTATTCAAATTTCTTTGATCCAAAAAATATTCAGATTATTTTTCTCATAAAATACTTTTTTTCCAAATATTAAGATATTTTGACTTGAGAGAAAAAAAAAAAAAAAACATTTCTGAAAAATGTCCGTCTATTCTTCTCTGCTGGATTACATGGTGTTTAATTGTAGAGGGCGTTGAACACTAAATAAAACGAATGTTCCTTTAATGAGTTTCCTTCCTGCTGCACTCACCCGCTCCCTCTGAGCTGCTCTGCACAAATCTCTTCTCCACATATTTCTCTTTGATCCACGCCTCTTTCTCTGATCTGAAAGAAAACATTCATCTTATTAATTTAGTTTTAAAACTCACACGAATCCTCCCTGAAGGATGCACAGCGACAGAAGAGCAGGAAGAAGAAGCCTCTCTGAAGCGGAGACTCAAACACACGTGATGTGACGGTTTGAGATTTAATAAGAGACGTTTGTTTCACCTCGAGCTGTCGGATCGGGGTTTGACTCGTCCTTCATCCGAACATCGAGCCTCGTAGATCCTGTTCACCACGTTATTACCCAGAATACACAGCAGCTGAGGAGGAAGAGGAGGAGGAAGAGGAAGAGGATTCAAATTAAATTATACATTAAGTGTGTTTTCATATTTTGTCAACAAGTGTGTGTCAGTGTTTGGTGTGGTGTGGTGTGGTGTGGTGTGGTGTGTGTGTGTGTGTGTGTGTGTGTGTGTGTGTGTGTGTCAAAGTCAAAGTCAGCTTTATTGTCAAAAATTCTACATGTGTTATACATCCAGAAATATCGAAATATCGTTTCCCGCAGTCCTACAGTGTGACATGTATACATAAAACAAAAAGGGCCTAGATAAACGGGGTATACAGTTTAAAATGTCAAGTGTGTGTCTGTCTGTGTGTGTGTGTGTGTGTGTGTGTTACCTTCAGCTGCTCTGCCTCCCAGGAGTCCAGAGTGAGAGACCTCACCTTGGACAGGTGGACTCCCAGACTCCTGGAAACACAACATTTTTTGTTTGATTAGTTTTTGAAATTCACACATTTAACATATTTATTACATTTTCTAGAGATGTATTGACATTTTTACCCTAATATCAATTTGTAAGAACATTTGTATTAAAAACATAGTATAAGATTATGTGTATATCGGATAGTACAGTGTATATATAAAATATGCATTATTTAATATACTGTAGGTATAGTACTGTGTGTGTATATTAAACACTATATCATATAAAGTATTGGTAGGCCTGTCGCGATAATCAATAAATTGACTTATCGTACGATAAATAAAAATGGACTCGATAACTTTTCTGAGCTCGATAAATTGCCGTTTACATGCGTGTTTGTTTACATAAGGATGTGACCAGCATTTTAGCCCGGCGCGCTGTGAGGGGCTCACACACAGCCAGGTCAGGACAATCCGCGTGCAGCAGTGTAGCAGCCAAATGAATAATATAGAGACAAGCAGGAGACAACGTGTGACTTACTCCAGGGGAATTTGAAGTTAAATGGAAGTGGTTGCAAAACCTAATACCACATCTCCGGTGTGGGAATATTTTGGATGTAAGCCAAATCAACGAGGCGAACCTACGGACTTGAATGAGCCGGGCGGTGTGTCACATTTGTTTTAAAAAGGTAGCAACAAAAGCTAGCGATACGACCAACCTTAAACTGCATCTGAAACACAAAACCCCATTCCGTTTCCTCAGCTGGGAGCAAACACGGCAGCTGGAGATGGAGAGCCCCCACCTTCCCGACAGTTTACAATCAAAGATGCATTTTCCCGACATGTTGGTGTTCCTTGCTCGAAATCTTTGAAATACAGATTTGGATATGGCCTGTTGAGGCATCTGGGTCTTTGTATGGACCGTGGACTGTACACTTGACTGCTTTTTTAAGGAGGGTTTTTTTGCTTGTGAGACAATGTGTGCTCATATATATTTATATATATATATATATATATATATATATATATATATATATATATATATTATATATATATATATATATATATATATATATATATATATATGAGAGAGAGAGAGCTCTGTTTTCCAGCCTGAGTCTATTTAATTGATTGTTTTGGTTGTGTGTGATTTAATTAATTTGTTATACTTTAAAGGGGACCTATCATGCAAAATGCACTTGTGTACGTCTTTTCTACATGAATATGTGTCCCCGGTATTCCAGGGAACTCACCAAGTGTCAGAAAACACAACCCTCTCTATTTTCCTCCATACCCAAATCTCTAAAAAAGGGGCTGCAACGGATCTGATAAAAACTGATCCAGATTTGAACACTGTCCTGACGTCAGGACGGTGGCGCTACGGCTATTGGGCCAACTCCACCAATCAGGAGGAGACAGCCACGGCATTGCCGTTCGAAAGCGCTGGAGACGCTGTAGTACATATGCCAGGCCTGTAGGTGGTGCTGTTCTCACTGAATCAGCCCTTGCTAAAACAGAGCTAAAAATTGTCAAATTGAGCAAAATGAGGCATGGCTAAAATGCATGATCTGTTTGGTATTTTGAAAAAAAAAGTATAAATATGCCTTATATAGGTATGGTCCTACACTATATTATTCAAATATAGCATGATAGGTCCACTTTAAATTTGTTTTATTTATTATATATAATTTATATATTTGAATATTATTTCACATTTCATTTGCAATGTTGGATGTTCAATAAAAAGATCTGTTTGAAAGGATGTTCTTGAATTATTATTATCAGGGATGCAAACTCATCAGGTATGAAAAAGGTGACAAGGATCCGAGCCCCCCGACCCCACGGAATATCGGCTTTAAAATGAGGAACAACAGGATGTTAGCAGTCAGAACAACTAAAGCAGTTAATAATAACAGAAACGCGCAGTGTAGCAGTCAGTTTATAATTTTGGCAGCACTGTTGAGCATTTTGAAAATGTATTGTCATGCCTCTGTGCAAGGCTTAGTCTTTCTATCTTTATAGCCAGTGGTGTAAAGTAACTAAGTTCATAAACTCAACAAGTACTATACTTGGGTACAATTTTGAGATACTTGTACTTTATTTAAGTATTTCAATGTGTTGCTACTGTGTACTTCTACTCCTCTGCAGTTCAGAGGTACATGGTGTACTTCTACTCCACTACATGTATTTAACACCTTTAGTTACTTCACAGATGTGGATGAATGATGTGAAATATAATCAAGTGTTAAATCAGACTTTAGTTCCACTTGGAGTAAATCCACAAGCTACCCTGCAGTATACAAAGTCATTCAAACTAGATGCACCTTTACCAGCTTTGAGAACACTTTCATGATCAATCATTATAAAACATATCATATATATTATTCTGAAATGGACCAATCTGCACAATGACTACTTTTACTGTCGCTACTTTAACTATATTTTGATGATAATACTTTTATACTTTTACTTGAGGAACATTTTGAATGCAGGACTTTTACTGTAACAGAATATTCCTACACTCTGGTACTTCTACTTTGACTCAAGTACAAGATCTGAGTACTTCTACTTTTACTAAGTACAAGATCCGAGTACTTCTACTTTTACTAAGTACAAGATCCGAGTACTTCTACTTTTACTCAAGTACAAGATCCGAGTACTTCTACTTTTACTAAGTACAAGATCCGAGTACTTCTACTTTTACTCAAGTACAAGATCCGAGTACTTCTACTTTTACTAAGTACAAGATCCGAGTACTTCTACTTTTACTCAAGTACAAGATCCGAGTACTTCTACTTTTACTCAAGTACAAGATCCGAGTACTTCTACTTTTACTAAGTACAAGATCCGAGTACTTCTACTTTTACTAAGTACAAGATCCGAGTACTTCTACTTTTACTCAAGTACAAGATCCGAGTACTTCTACTTTTACTAAGTACAAGATCTGAGTGCTTCTACTTTTACTCAAGTACAAGATATATACTTATACCACCTCCGTTTATAGCCTATGAAAAACACTATTTGAAAACAAAGGCTAAAGCTAACGTCAGCAGATAGTGACAATGTATGCTAGCTAGCTCAACGATAATATTGCGACAGGAAAACTTTTCAGTTCACATCACGCTCTGCCGCTCCAACAGGGAGCTCTGCTCTGAACACCTGAACGGCCCGTTCTAACAGCTGTTCACCAGCGGTCCAGTCTGTGCCACAGTGACTCCGGACCGCACAGTTAATATTAACGAACGCACCCGTAGGTAATGTAGCTGCTGAAGCTAGACCCTCATCCCGGAGCAGCAGAGCCTTATTATACATCCATGAGCAGAGCCGACAGGCAGGAAGACTCGAGCACACAGCTCACGCTGCATTAGAATATATAAAAAAAGAACACCATGCGTGTCATGATGGCACATAACAGCTTGCGGCCGCAGATTACTCCGGGTCCCAGACCCCCCCCATACCCCAAAAATATTTTTATTGCAGATCTACATGAATCACACAAACGACCTATTTTGGATTCAAAACGGCGAATTTCGCCGAAAGGTGACAAGTTTGCATCCCTGATTATATATTATCATTATGTCAGTGGTCTAAAATGGTCTTACAACGGTGCCGACAATATTATCGTTTATCGCAATAATTTCCGGGAAAATGTATCGTCCAACGAAATTAATTATCGTGACAGGCCTAAGTATTGGTACTGACCGGTGTATATAGTGTATATTAAACACTATATCATATAAAGTATTGGTACTGACCGGTGTATATAGTGTATATTAAACACTATATCATAGAAAGTATACTGACCGGTGAATGCCGGAGCACTGGATGCAGACGGTGACCCCCAGGTTGATGGAGGCCCAGCGAGGCTCCTCCTCTCCACAGTCGCAGCACAGCATGTTCCCGGGGGCCCTGAACGCCTCGCCCAGCACAGACTGCCTCTGAGGGGGGGGGGCCGGGGGAGGAGTCGCCCCCACCCTGAGGGGGAGGAGCCTCTTTAGGCTGGGGAGGAACACATGGGAGGGACGTTTCATTACATTAGGAACTTTTTAAAGAGGCCATCATCTTGTTCTCATGTAGTTTCCCCTCTCCTGTAAAGTTATATAGGTTCAGTGCATGTTAATGGTCTGCAGAGGATACAATACCTGTCTGTACCTGAGTGTCTATTCTCTGTCTGTACCCGAGTGTCTGTATCTGAGTGTCTATTCTCTGTCTGTACCCGAGTGTCTGTACCTGTCTGTCCCTGAGTGTCTATTCTCTGTCTGTACCCGAGTGTCTGTACCTGAGTGTCTATTCTCTGTCTGTACCCGAGTGTCTGTACCTGAGTGTCTATTCTCTGTCTGTACCCGAGTGTCTGTACCTGAGTGTCTATTCTCTGTCTGTACCCGAGTGTCTGTACCTGTCTGTACCTGAGTGTCTATTCTCTGTCTGTACCCGAGTGTCTGTACCTGAGTGTCTATTCTCTGTCTGTACCCGAGTGTCTGTACCTGTCTGTCCCTGAGTGTCTATTCTCTGTCTGTACCCGAGTGTCTGTACCTGTCTGTCCCTCAGTGTCTATTCTCTGTCTGTACCCGAGTGTCTGTACCTGTCTGTCCCTGAGTGTCTATTCTCTGTCTGTACCCGAGTGTCTGTACCTGAGTGTCTATTCTCTGTCTGTACCCGAGTGTCTGTACCTGTCTGTACCTGAGTGTCTATTCTCTGTCTGTACCCGAGTGTCTGTACCTGTCTGTACCTGAGTGTCTATTCTCTGTCTGTACCCGAGTGTCTGTACCTGTCTGTACCTGAGTGTCTATTCTCTGTCTGTACCCGAGTGTCTGTACCTGTCTGTACCTGAGTGTCTATTCTCTGTCTGTACCCGAGTGTCTGTACCTGAGTGTCTTCACCTGTCTGTACCTGAGTGTCTGTTCTCTGTCCGTGCCTGTCTGTACCTGTGTGTCTGTACCTGTCTGTACCCGAGTGTATGTCTGTCTGTACCTGTCTGTCTGTACCTGTCTGTCTGTAGCTGTCTGTACCTGTCTGTAGGCGAGGTCGATGCTTCCCTGCAGAGCTTCGAGCCACGACTGCTTCACCTCCTCAGAATCCGCCTGCAGAGCACAGCTCCTGAGAATACACAATATAACAGCATCATGTGTATATTCAAAATACAAGAAATGCACAACAAAACAACAACAAATAATGTTGAATAAATAATAAATAAATGTATATATTATGCATTATGTCTAACATGAAAATAAAAAGAGGGTACAATCAATAAAAACCATTATAATTAAAAAGAAATAATAAATATCTTCCTAACTTTAATGAAAGCAAGAATAACAACTGTGATAATAATACTAAATTAATTGATACTCTCTGAGGCTAATTAGTATTCATTCTTATTTCATTTGTAATTTATTGTATTTTTTTACTTGTGTTTCTAGATTTTTCTTTGCAATACTTGCTTTTATTTTGCATTTTCTGTAGCATGCCGTGCACCAGAGCAGATTCCTTGCATGTAAAACTTTAATTGGTACCACTTTACAATAAGACTACCCTTAAAGGATTCATAAAGGGTTTGTAATTAGGTTATGAATTAGGTTGTGAACACTTTATTAATCATTAAGAATAATTTATAAACCAGTTCTAACGTAGTTCAACACAGGCTCACTATTTGGCAAGATGACTAAGCCTTATATTGGTCAACTCAGTGAGCAACAGATACCAAGGATGCTGGCTGATGAAGAAGACAAAGTAAGCTAAGTAGCCAATATAAGACTTGGCAGTACAGATACATGTGGGCTCACTATTTGGCAAGCGACCGGTCACAGTTGCCCTGTTTATCTCATGTCTTATAAAAGCTTATTAATGATTTATAAAGTGTTCACAACCTAATTAATACATTACATACAAACTATTCGTAAACCCTTTAAACGGGTAGACTTATTGTAAAGTGGTACCAACTTCTCTAATAATAATAATAATAATAATATGTTATTTATAAAGCTGGTTGATAATCAGGACTCACTTCTGCACAGAGAGCAGATCGAAGCAGAAGCGCCGGTCGATGTTCTCCAGAGATTTGACGGCACACAGTCGCAGATCCTCGAACAAAACCACCGACGCCTCCTGCAGAACAAACCACAGGAACTCAAGACTCAAAGGTGTTATCATCAGATGCTCAGCAGCTTCAGGGTAGAAATGGCATGAAATTCTTCTGACCTGAGCTCCTCCAACAATGCAACATATATAATAAAATACAAAAGAATAAATAAAAAGTTATGCAAGAAGTCTATATACATGTAAAAATATGAAATGAAATAATGTACATTAAGACAAAATTAAATGATTGCGGTGATAACTATTTATATAAATACGTACAAACAGAGACCAGGGTTCATACACTTTTTCACCAATGACTTCTCCATGACCTTTACCTCATTTTCCATGACCAAAAACATTACTCTTTCTTAGCGGTACCACTGAAAATGGTTTATTTTAACATGGAACAGGAAAATAAGGTCTGCATATGAAACATGTTGTGCCTTTCTAAAACAAATCAAATAGTAGGCTTACTAGCTTCTACAGGCTAAAGCAACTGAAATCTCTCACCAGCAAAACACCTCGTCAGTTAAATGCCATTTTACGTTTCCTTACTATACGATACAGTATTTATTATCATTATAGTATTACTATTTCGGCGATTAGTTAAAATATAAATTATATTTGATGCAACTTTTCCAGGGCCTGGAATTAGCATTTTGAATTTCCATGACTTTTCCAGGTTTTTAAGAACCCTGAGAGACGATCCACAGCATGGATAGATGAGGATTTCACACAGTAGAATTCATGTGTTAATAAGCCCAATGTTTCAAATAAATTCAGTCAATTAAAGTTGAAAACATTTTCTAACCGATCTAAGTTGATAAGCTAAAAGCCCAATAGAGCGGCAGGGAGGACGTATTCACCCTGCAGGAAGCTGCCGGTTCCCTCGACAAAAAAGCAACGGGATTTCTCCAGAGGATTTTGGAATATTGTAAAAAATAAGGTCTGTGGAAAATGAGCCTGTTTGATAAATGCACGTTTTGTTCAGCCGGATAATCTCCACATGTCTACCCTACTTTTATAATGTTAGAATCATAAATCTAATGTCCAGAAGCAAAATGCTAACGTGATGCTATAAAGGAACTACAGCCGAACTGCAGGCTTTGGGGGGTTGGTAGGGGGATCTGAGGGGCTTTGGGGGGTTGGTAGGGGGATCTGAGGGGCTGTGGGGGGTTGGTAGGGGGATCTGAGGGGCTTTGGGGGGTTGGTAGGGGGATCTGAGGGGCTTTGGGGGGTTGGTAGGGGGATCTGAGGGGCTTTGGGGGGTTGGTAGGGGGATCTGAGGGGCTTTGGGGGGTTGGTAGGGGGTGAGAAAGTCAGTGAGATATTGGGGGACCAAGGGTGTTTCTCAATGTCAAGGAAGGATCCTCCAGAGCCACTATTTCAAGGATGCTACGTCATCGAGTCCCGCCGAAGGACTGTTCCAATGTCCAGGCTCCTTGGAATTCTACCGAGGCCGGCGTCCTTCGTAGCGAGAAATTTCGAGGCTGCACATGTGTATCCTCCGCGGTCTTAAAATCCCCACAATGCTTTGCGCACGGACCAATTTCCCAAATCTTTGGCGGAAATCGCGCTCCATGTAAGGCGGGGCCTCGCATATGACGCACACCCGTTAGCCTGTTAGCCTGTTAGCCTGTTCCACCATTCTTCGTTTTGCGAGGCTAGGAAGGATTCTTGCCTCGCTTCTGAAGCAAGTGACTCGGTACTACCAAGGAAGCGTCCTCGACATTGAGAAACACGCCAGATGTTGGAGGGCTTTGTCGGGGAGGGTCAGTATTTAGTAGTTAATGGGAGACAGGAAGCCAGAGAAGGTCTTTGAGGACTGGGTGTGTGTGTGAGGAGACTGGTTTATATTGAGGGGAGGGAGCTGACACCGTAGAGAAGGGAGTTAAAGTATTCAAGGGGGGAGGAAACGAAGGCGTGGAGGAGTCGTTCAGCTGCTGATAGAGAGGGTCGGGTCTTTGCAGTATAAGGGAATAAACATTTTTTTATTGTGCAATGCCTTGTCTTTTTATTCTGCTGCAACACAAGCATGTCCCAAACTGGGATCAGTGCTTCTTATAAGAGCGAATGTTTTGCTATTTGAAGCCACAATTAAGAGCTGGATATGTCGGAGCCATTTAACTAACTTTATTAAATACGTTTTGTTTTTATTTTAATTGTTCAACATGTCTTGATTTATTAGTATACATGGTGTACAGATATTAGTTGTTGAATATTTACCTACTCACCTTAGTTGTTTACCTTCTGAATATATTTGTTGACACCCCTTGATCTCCTATTTGCTATATTATGTCTGTTTATGGGGAAGGGGTTGTTTTTAGACGGAGGAAAGCTAGACCAACCACACACACTCAGAAGGAGGGATGTGTGGTGAAAATGGAAAATGTATGGATTCATCCTGAGAAATGGATTATTTGTGCGTTGAAATCACACTCAGTATGTTGGAAGTGGCTCTGGAAACTTTAAACCCCCTACTTTAAGATTTTATCTTAAAGGTCACCTGTCATGCTATTTGTAGGCAATAGCATAGGTCTCAGATATATACAAATATATAAAAAACATGTCTATGAAGTGTTTTGCTCCAAACACCAAACAGATCACCCATTCTAGCCATGCCTCATGTCCCTCTATTTCACTTCCTGTTTCTAAAGTGCTGATTTGGGGTATAAAGCTTTAAAAAGGAGGGGTCTGAGCTCATGCGGGACCCGGCAGCTACTGTCTAAACTAAATGCTGCCGTGATGAAACTCCATATCATGGATTATCAAGGATTCTCTCTGAAACAGTATGGAGCTCAAAGGCTTTCTCTCTTGCCGGTTATACCACAAGGTGAGTTCCTTTTTATTTCCTGCTTCTTCACACACATGCTCTCCAGTACAGGTTAGCTCTGAGTGTTAGCGATGCTAATGTAAACACAGACCATATTACGTCCAAAACAGTCGGGCATTGTTTCTGATAGCAACGTTTCTGATAGGGCCGTGGGTCCACATTTCAGATATTACGTCATATCGGACGCAAATCTGGATCAGCTCTGTTGTTCCCCCGTTTTTAGAGATTTGGGTACGGAGGAAAAGAGAGAGGGTTTTATTTCCTGACGCTGCGTGAGTTCCCTGACACACCGGGGACACACCGGGGACACATGGTGATGTAGAGAAGACATCAGAAAGTGCATTTTGCATGATAGGTCCCCTTAAAGTGGAAAAATGGGGATTTGACTTCTTGGCGGATGAGAGGCTCGAGGGAGGGCAACTGTTGTGATATCGATGGGGAGGGTCGTGTTGGAGACGGGGGATTTGGAGCCGAGTTCTCTCGTATTGCTGTAAAATAATCAAAGGAAGAGACAGAAAATAAACTGGTTTTCTTACCTTGTGTGACTTTCTGTAAATCAGTTGGTTGTCTCTGATGGAAAACCAGCCTCTGAAAGTTCATACGGTTAAAGGGTTAAATACTGCAATATACTAATATTATACATGTTACAGAGGTGTTATACGTGGTATCGAAAGGCTTCCTAAAAGTAGGTAACATTTAGGAAAAGCTGCAGAAATGTTTATAAATAGTTGTCGATTTGTTCCAAGAAGGAGTCGTTATATTCAAAAGAAAGCATTTGTAATATCTCATAGAAAATAATTGGAATATAACCAGACTATCTTTTTCTATGAAAGTGAAATAAAAATCCTGTAAAAAAAAGTGGGAAAATCTCCAGATAAAAGATATTTTAGAGCAAAAATGTTAAGAAATAAAATAATGTATTAATAAAATGTCATTGTGATAACACACACACAGATACAATGAGTAGTTACAGATGTGAATATATCTAGGTGTGTGTGAACCTCTTCCAGGTCTTGGTTTTCCTGCGGGAGCGTTTGAAGAGGTAACCCTGGATCAGATCCTCGCTGCCGGGACACGGGACGACCAGCGGCTCCCCTGAAGCGTCCTGAACACACACACACACACACACACACACACACACACACACACACACACACACACACACACACACACACACACACACACACACACACACACACACACACACACACACACACACACACACACACCACACACACACACACACACACACACACACACACACACACACACACACACACACACACACACACACACACACACACACACACACACACACACACACACACACACACACACACACACACACACACACACACACACACACACACACACACACACACACACACACACACGGTGGTTAGCCGTAGACTAGATCATAATTACTAAATATATATATAATAACAATACTAATAATTAAATAATAATAACTGACCCTCTGCTGCACCAGCAGGTGTGTGTTCTCCAGCTCTTTCCTTTTAGCAGCGCAGTCTGCGGACAGCTGTGATAACTGCACACACACAAACACACACTATAATTTGTAATGTAAAAAAATACAAGTAAATGCATGGTTTATATAAAAAAACGAATCATTAAAAATAAATATCGATAGTAAAACCCACACCTGGGCGGCCATGGTCTTCATGGTGGGCTCCAGGTCTCGCAGCAGGTCGAAGCCCTGATGGAAGAAGGTGAACTGAGCATGGACGAAGGAGAACACCTGCACACACACACACACACACACACACACACACACACAAATTAGTTATTTTACTTTTGCACAGATATGGTAATGCTTAAACGTATGCCTGCAGGACTTGTACACTGTATCACATTAACTAAAGTAAAGATTAAAGATTCAAGTCATCATGTCTCAGCTGCTACAGGGTAGATCTGGAGATGAGAGACTGAAGTCCTCCAACAGAGCAACATGAATTCATATAGGACATAAAACTAATACAACAATTTATAAATTTATAAATTACCGTGGTGGCGCGGCACTGCTGCGACCCGGGCTCCTGTCGCGTGCTGCAGTTTTGTGTATTTATGTCTGGTTAAACGTTTCGTCCTTGATTTAAACCACACGCTTTAATCAAGAGACTGTATGTTGGAACAATGACGACCCTTGCAAAACTTCTTCTGGCACTCTTTATCCTTGAACTTTTTCAACCATGCCAAACATTACGGGGAGGAAACAACTTGGCCCTGTCATACACCAGAGACGCACTGCTGGCCCTCCGTGCTGCGGGAAGCTTCCCACCCCCCGACCTGCCGGAGGACATACGATCTACAGCTCCGAGGAGACGTCTCCGTAGAAGGGGAAGGAGGGGAGGAGTACGGCAGCGCCTCAGACGGAGAGGCAACAGGCCGCCTTTACCCTCCATGATACTCAGTAATGTGAGGTCGCTACGGAGGAAAATGGAGGAGCTGCGGATCAACGCTACAGCCTGTTTCGAGTACCGTGAGTCGTCTATTATGGTGTTTTGTGAGACATGGCTTCATCAGGATATTCCCGACTCTTTGTGTGAACTGGAGGGGTTTTCACCCATCCGCTCGGACAGGAGTGAAACGTCGGGGAAAGGCAAAGGTGGGGGCATCTGTGTATTTATCAATGACAAGTGGTGCAGACAACACACTTTGCGTAAGACTATCTGCAGCCCCGACGTTGAACTTATGTGCTTGAGCCTAAGACCCCTGTACCTGCCTAGAGAGTTTGGGAATATCATACTCTGCACTGTTTATATTCCACCCAGCGGGAACGCAGCAAGTGCAGCAGCTCAAATCACTGACTGTGTTCACCAGCAGCTACTACACACTCCTGACGCTCCGCTCTTTATTCTAGGGGACTTTAATCATTGCAAACTTGAACTGTCACTACCCGGTTTTCAACAATACGTTACATGTGAGACCCGGGGAGATACAATTCTAGACAAATGTTACGGAAATGTGAACAACGCATATGTGAGTAGAGCCAAACCCCCGCTTTCGAACTCGGACCATAACACTGTTCATCTCATACCTACCTACAAAACGGTTCTCAAGCGAAGTAAACCACAGACCAAGACTGTAAAGGTTTGGACTAGTGACAGCATAGAGTCTCTTAAAGGATGTTTTCTCTCTACTGAGTGGAGTATCTTTCATGAGATGGACGTGGATAATGCTACTGAGACGGTAACTGACTATATAAACTTCTGTGTTGACAATGTGATACCTCAGAAAGAAATAACTGTGTACCCCAACAACAAACCATACATAACTAAAGAGGTTAAGGACTGCATCAATCGTAAAAATATAGCTTTTAAAAACCGGGATAAAACGCAACTGAAATGTGTGCAAAAGGAGCTTAACCACATGCTCAGAGAAGCTAGAAGGAGACATAAGGAAATTATTGAACAGAATTTTTCTACAATGAACTCCAAGGAACTTTGGGACACTATGAAGGCAATCACAAATATGACTCCAGCTAAAAAAACTCTCTGTACCTCTGATGACCTGCAAAAAGCATGAGATTTGAAACCCAGGACTTCTCCTCTGAATGTACAGACATCTAATGGCGCATTTCCATTGCAGCGCGTAGCTCGCTTTAAGCGTGCCGTGTCGTGCCGTCCCCTTTTTTGGTTGTGCTTCCACTAGGCCTCGTTCCGGCGCGGCACGGCGCGGGGCCACTTTTTCCCCTCTTTTCTGGCCCTAGAAAATTGTGGTTCTATCGGGGCCAACAAACAGGGCTGAGTCGGGCTGAGTATGCTAAACTAGAGAGAGGAGCGCTGGCAAGAGGGCTAGAACTACAACAAGATGGACATATTTGACCGTGATTTAATTGTAATACACGTTTCAAAATGATGCCGAAGTAACAACATACTGATACCGGTTAGTAAAAACCATGAATTAATGCTTTGTCAAGTCTGCAGACAGACGGCAGGCGAAAAACCTTTTAAAATTCGTGTTTTTCTAGATGGAGATTGGCTAAGCTAACGCAGTATATGCCCCGACCGTCCACACTCACAACAACGGCCTATACAGACATAAATAAGGCAGCGACTGTATTCACCATGACACAGGCAGTCTGTGGTGTGTACTTGTTTAACTTTTGTCGAGTTTCTGAACATATATAAGGAGCTGTGAGCTCTGAGTGCTCACAGCTAACGGCTGTGTTGTGTTTCTGGATTTCTCATTGAAGATGACGTCACGGCTCCGCCTACACTGCGTTACTATAGTAACTACCCCAGTTCCTAAACTGTAATGGAAGCGCAGCATGAAGTGAGTCGGCCCTGTTAAGGCCCAACGCGGCCAAGCCGTACCGAGCCGTACCGAGTGTGGCCGAGGCCGACCGTGTAGTGGAAATGCGCCATTAGAGACAATCTCTGCTACTGACCAGGATGAAAGGGTGCTGATTGACCCTTTAAAGGTCCAATCACTTTTCAAACACACCTGTACTAAGAAGGCCACAGGGCCAGATGGCATCTCTGCATTCCTTCTGAAGACATTTGCAGAAGAACTGACATCAGCATGGTGTCCCATATTTCAAAAATCTGTTGATCTTCACACCATCCCCACCCTCTGGAAAAAATCAATAATAAAACCTGTCCCCAAAAAACCTTGTCCAAAGGTAAACAATGATTTTAGGCCTATTGCATTGACATCCATTGTCATGAAATGTTTTGAGAGGATCATGGTGCCGCTGCTAAAGAAAGAGGTTGATGTACATTTAGACCCTTTTCAGTTTGCCTATAAGCAAGGGCGTGGCACAGACGATGCTCTAAATAGCATCACACACCTGGTCACTAAACACCTGGAAGACCCTAAGGCATATGTACGCCTACTGTTTGTGGATTTCAGCTCGGCTTTTAACACACTGCAGCCTCACATCTTGCTTCAAAAACTGATAAAGATCAGTATAAATCCTTTTATCTTGAAATGGTATTTTTCGTTTTTAACCAATCGCACTCAGCATGTCAGGGTCAACAATGCCCTCTCAGAGCCCCGGACCATCAGTACAGGAGCTCCCCAGGGTTGTGTGAGCTCCCCGGTCCTCTTCACATTGTACACAAACGACTGTACGAGAATCCACCCGGAGAACTATATCATCAAATTCTCAGATGATACAGCCATCCTTGGCTTGATGCACAAAGGCAGCAGTTCATCGGCTTATCACTCTGAAATAGAGAGATTTGTGCAGTGGTGTGATTTTAACCATCTGGTGTTGAATGTGAAGAAGACTGAGGAGATGGTGTGGGACCCAAAGGCAGTGGGTGACCTTAGGCCGGTGGTTATCCACAATGAACCCATAACTCAGGTCAGCTCCTATAAGTACCTTGGTGTCCATTCATGTTACTGTTACAAGTTCATGTTACTGTTCTATCATGCAGTGTTGGAGAGCATCATGAGGTATCACTGCCTGGTATGGTAACTTGACAGTGCAATCAAAGTCACAGATCGCTCGCCTAGTACAGACTGCTATGAAGATTATGGGGGTTAAAAAACACCCATCTCTCCAAAACATATACGAGCAGTCGATTATCAGACAGGCAAAAAAAATGGTGTCTGATCCCACCCACATACTCCACCCAGAATTCCAGCTCCGACCTTCTGGTAGAAGATTCAGGGTTCCCAGGAGCAGGCTGAACCTCTATAAGCACTCATGGAAGTGGAAGTGGTAGTGGAGTACAGAGCTTCGTGTCCGTGGAGCGTGTGAACGTGGTGATCAGCTGTTTTAGCGCAGGGCTGTTGTACAGACCGACGTTAACAGCAGCCCTGTCTGTGCACACGGAGACCGACTCTGTCGTCCGGTGATCTAACCGCCTTCTGGAAAAGCTTCACAAGTACGTCGGTACGCAAATGCGCTTTGTGACAAAAGTGACGGTACGCATTTCAGATTGTTGCCGTGCATGCGTACCTGCGTACCAGTTATGTGCACCCCTGATTATAGATGTTCTTTAAACAGTTCAGGTGTTTAATAATCTTAAAACTTTAACTGTTGATCGACTCCTTTAAAACAACAATGTACAGCAGCGTGATTTAGATTAGTAAAATAAACAAAACTCACTGAGTTTAAGACGTCCAATCTCTGCTGAGTCTTGAAGGTGTTGAGCTGAAAACAACGAGATCGTGCAAAATCAATTAGAGAGAGAGAGAGTGTGTGTGTGCGTGTGTGAATGTTTGAGTGTGTGTGTGTGTGTCTGAGTGAGTGTGTGTTTGAGTGTGTGTGTGTGCGAGTGTGTGTGTGTGCGTGTGTGAATGTTTGAGTGTGAGTGTGTGTGTGTCTGAGTGAGTGTGTGTGTTTGAGTGAGTGTGTTTGAGTGTGGTCAGGGCTCAACGCTAACTTTTAAAAGTGGTTGCCAGGCAACCAGGCATCAGCTTTTGGTTGCCAAAACTGAAAATACGGTTGCCATTTTTAGTCACCTTATATTTTAAATAATTAAGATACTATACAGTTATACATCAACTTAGTAATGAACATGTGACACAAAAGAATGTTCAAATGCTTTACAATAAGTAATTAACACAATTATTTGAAACTGAAGTGGAAGGAAACGTGTCCACCCTCAATTGCTGGGATACAAAACACCAGAAGTGCAGCTGCTGTTCTTCACAGATGAACACATGAATTGAGTCACTAGTTTCTTCATCATCCGTTGTCTTCCTTTCAAATGTGGGTTTTCTTGACCTCTGTGCTGACCCCCACCACAGATCCATTGGCCTTTCAGCATTGAAGTCTTGACCTCTGTGCTGACCCCCACCACAGATCCATTGGCCTTTCAGCATTGAAGTCTTGACCTCTGTGCTGACCCCCACCACAGATCCATTGGCCCTTCAGCATTGAAGTCTTGACCTTTGTGCTGACCCCCACCACAGATCCATTGGCCCTTCAGCATTGAAGTCTTGACCTTTGTGCTGACCCCCACCACAGATCCACTGGCCCTTCAGCATTGAAGTCTTGACCTCTGTGCTGACCCCCACCACAGATCCATTGGCCCTTCAGCATTGAAGTCTTGACCTCTGTGCTGACCCCCACCATAGATCCATCGGCCTTTCAGCATTGAAGTCTTGACCTTTGTGCTGACCCCCACCACAGATCCATCGGCCTTTCAGCATTGAAGTCTTGACCTTTGTGCTGACCCCCACCACAGATCCATCGGCCTTTCAGCATTGAAGTCTTGACCTTTGTGCTGACCCCCACCACAGATCCACTGGCCTTTCAGCATTGAAGTCTTGACCTCTGTGCTGACCCCCACCACAGATCCATCGGCCTTTCAGCATTGAAGTCTTGACCTTTGTGCTGACCCCCACCACAGATCCATTGGCCCTTCAGCATTGAAGTCTTGACCTTTGTGCTGACCCCCACCACAGATCCATCGGCCTTTCAGCATTGAAGTCTTGACCTTTGTGCTGACCCCCACCACAGATCCATTGGCCTTTCAGCATTGAAGTCTTGACCTTTGTGCTGACCCCCACCATAGATCCATTGGCCCTTCAGCATTGAAGTCTTGACCTCTGTGCTGACCCCCACCATAGATCCATTGGCCCTTCAGCATTGAAGTCTTGACCTCTGTGCTGACCCCCACCACAGATCCATTGGCCCTTCAGCATTGAAGTCTTGACCTCTGTGCTGACCCCCACCACAGATCCATCGGCCCTTCAGCATTGAAGTCTTGGATTGGCCAGACTAATACATTTCTAATGTTAAATAAATGAAAACCATTCACAGTTAAGAATGAGATATTAATTATTAATGCTGTAAATGACCTTTAATATGTCTAACTATATTTAAAATGTGTTACCTTTTTACAGAAGTGATTATATTTTTATGCCAATATTTTCCTATGGTAACGTTTTCGTTTTGCACTTTTATTTTGGTAGTAATAAGATCGGGACTCTTATTTTGAAGGAACTTTTACCGGAAGTGAATGGACAACGGAGCAGAATGTACTTAACCCACTCAAAGGATTTCTTCTTAGAATAAGTGAGAAATGGATTGAACTTCTGTTTGACAGCTTTCATACTGGAGAAATAAGAAACTGTAATTGTATGCAATCATTTATGGAATTCATAATGAATATTGGCGAGGCTGTGAGTGTGTGTGTGCTCGGGCTGGTTTCGGGCTGGGTTTCGCTGTGTCTCGCCGACCCCACGCAGCAACCAGGAAACCACACCAGTAACACAGCTCACACTGTCCGCTCCTCAGCAGCGAGCCTCGCAACGTCCCCCCAACACGGCACCCAGACCCCACGCAGCATTCTCATCTGTTTGTCATTACTGGTGTCATTTCCTGGTTGCTAACAAACGCCATTGTAAAACATAATCACTGATGTTCCGCTGTAACGGTGGTGGACTCATCAGAACAGAGTGGGCGAGCTGACCAATCAGAGCAACCTGGCAACCGTTACTGTCGAGCCCTGGTGTGTGTCAGTGTGTCAGTGAGTGAGTGTGTCAGTGAGTGAGTGAGCGAGACTGTGTGTGTCTGTGTGTGTGTGTGTGTGTGTGTGTGTGTGTGTGTGTGTGTGTGTGTACCTGCAGACAGTAGTCCAGGGCGAAGTGTTGGTAGCACTTCCTGGTGGCGAGCAGCAGGTGACTCGCTCGCTCTGCGTCCGTCGCTCTGTGGCGAGAAACCTGAGAGTTCTTCAGCGCCGCCGAGTCCAGATCCCCCCCGATCCGCAGAAACTCCCGCCTGGTGTCGAGCAGCTGGGGGAGGAACCTGAGCAATATCAACATCATCATTATTATTATTATCATCATCATACAAAATAATAATGTGTGTTATTGATAACACTTAATGTGCATTTCATGGATTTTTAATATTAGGAATAATATATTCTAATATTTTTTTATGTAAATATGATTAATTCTAATTAATTTTTATCATGTATTTATTTATTTGACATTTTTCCTTTTCTTATGGGCATTTCTCTTATTTTTATATATAAAAGAATACATATATAAATACATGAATTTATAGAACCATATTTAATTAGATTTTTTGATTTATTTAAATTCAATACATTTTAGTTCAATTGTTTTGTTTTTTGTTGTTATTTTGTTGTTTGTCTCTGTATTTCTAATATATATATATAATTAATAAGTTAATTTAATTGTTTAGTTTTTTAGATCACAGGCATTTTCTTGTATTTTTTATATTAGAAATAATGCACAGTACATGTGTGTGCGTGAGTGTGAGTGTGTGAGTGTGAGTGTGAGTGTGAGTGTGAGTGTGTGTGTGTGTGTGTGTGTGTGTGTGTGTGTGTGTGTGTGTGTGTGTGTGTGTGTGTCTGTGTCCTACTGTGTGCAGAGGTTGGTCAGCTGCTGGCTGATGGCTCGCTGAGTCTGATCGAACAAAATCTGAGAAGACAAACACAGATGTATTTTTAAAAAATGGTCTTACATTAAACACTAACGATTTCTGTGTGTGTGAGTGTGTGAGAGTGAGTGAGTGAGTGAGTGAGTGAGTGAGTGAGTGAGTGAGTGTGTGTGTGTGTGTGTGTGTGTGTGTGTGCTCACAGTGTGGAAGCTGATCATTTCCTGCAGGCCCTGGTTGAACTGATTCAAACAGTTCTGAGGGAAAGGAAACAGGAAGTCAGTCAGAAACAGGAAACTAACCCGAGTTTCTGCGAAGCCTTTTCCTCCCGGAGAACTTCACTACCTGATACGATAATAATAACTATTATATTAAGAAGAAATAAATATATATAAAACAATAATAACCCCTGTGACTGTTAAATTATGAATTATATCATTTTATATTATATGAAATGATCATGTTGTCCCTACGTTGATGACGCTGTCCTTCTGGTGGAACATGGAGAGCTCAGCCAGGCCGGAGAGGAACAGCTGATTGGCTGCGTTGTACACTTGTCCCGCTTCCACCATCTTGCCGCACAGCTTCATCACCTGATTGGTCAGAGACAAATATGACAGACCAATCAGATCGCTTCACAGGTCAGCCACATGAAGTAAGTTGGATAGTATTACGAGTATTCATAGCAGTAGTACAGTTGTACATGTAAAAATTACTCAGATCTTGTACTTGTGTAAAAGTAAAAGTACTCGGATCGTGTACTTGAGTAGAAGTACTCAGATATTGTACTTGAGTAAAAGTAGAAGTACCAGAGTGTAGGAATACTCTGTTTCAGTAAAAGTCCTGCATTCAAAATGTAAAAACTAAGGACTTTATATTGTAAGGATATTAGCAGTATTAGCATTAGCAGCATGTGTACCTTGTCCAGGTGTGTCTCGAGCACATTAACATCCGCCTCAAACAGCTCGAGCTTCAATCTGCAACAGAATACATAAAACATCATCAGGACTTCTGCGCATGCGCGGGTTGGAGATGCTAGGTGTGTTCTTTACCTGCGAGTCTCTCTCCCTCTCTTACCTGAACTCAGGTGAGTCTTTCACACACTCCTCAAAGTCCAGCAGCGAGTCCATGATGTCCCCTGTTGATGTCACCGAGTTAAAGTGGTTTTAAAGTTCATTAAACCCTCTCCATGTTGTTAGCCTGTTAGCTCACAGTTAGCTCCATTCAGAACATCTCACTTTTACTCCACAATCCGTAAAGAAACACCGATAAACTTCTCCCAGGATCCGAACAACCACCTTCACAAACAGCCGATTAATGAAGGCTCCTGTCCGTGTGTGTGTGTGTGTGTCGCATGTCGGATGAAAGTGTGAATAAAAGCGTGTTTGTTGTGTTTTCAGTGTAACAGCTGTCTGTGCTGCAGTCCGCTAGCTGCCCTGCTGTGACGACGAGCTCATGGATATTAATGAGATGACGTCACGCTGCTCGACGATGACGTTTCACAAAGCACTTTATTTAAAAAATGTCTTTATATTTTGTGGCCATTTATTTTATGAATGCTTGTGTTGTAGAATATTGTGGTTTGATGCAGAATGTTTTATTAGAAGAAAGACAAAAGGTTCAACTCCAGGATAGAAAGACATTCTCATGAACTTCAGGGATGATGGTATGGATGCAGATCTTGTCTTTTTTGTGCAGTTAATTGTATTTTTAGGGAAATTTAATATCCATAAAAAGAAATGGGCTGACTCCAAACCACATTTTGTACATTTATATCAAGACTTTAAACAATATATTAGCACTATGATGAAAAACATTAGGAACTAGAGAATGCAATTCCTGAAGAAATTGCTAGTGGGAATGCTTTATGCTGAAAAGCTGACGCTAAACTGCTATGCTGAAATGTAATGTGTAAGAAGAAAGTGAAGAATTTAGATTGAAATGATACATGAACACTGGGGGCTTGAATGTGTGATGAGAGAAGAAAAGAAAGTAAAAAAGGCTTGGAAAAGCAGCAGAATATTTGAAATGCAAACTTTTGAACTAACTTGATGGCGAATGATCTGTCGCCATGCCAACGGCATTTGATGACATCCCATAATACGCTTAGATGCGTTGATGGCTGTGTTACCAAACTTGTGAAGTTTTGGGCCATTTGGAGCATTTTCACTGAAGTTATGAGAAAACCGTGTTTCATGGCGGGCATTGTGTTGCCATGGCAACGGCATGTCCCGTAGATGTCTTCACGGCTGGACTGTTAGCACACATGTGAAGTTTGAGCACTTTTTGAACATTTTTATAGGAGGAGGACAAAAGTGGTGGGGGCACAAAAAACTTAGATGTCTATATATAAGCTTCTGCAGTGACGTGCAGTGAGGTTCATGGCTGGTGAGGCACTGGCACTGACTCTTCAGGTTTACAAATATTACATTTTGACCTAAACCAAAATATAATATTATTTTCAAAAGCTTTTTCAGTCTGATGCTTCGATTAATTTTAAACAGACAGTTCAACAAAAGGATACCCAAAAAATTTAATTTTATCATTTAAATATTGAATTGTTCTCTCTTAGTAAGATCCCATTTTCAATCAAATTGCGGTCTTACCTTGACTTGAAGATGAAGTCCATTTGCCTATCCTTCTGGACAAAAAATTCTATTACTTTTTTGTAAAAGTCCTCCTTATCTTCTTGTAGTTTCAAAAGTTTATCATAAATCTAATCCATAGATTTATGATTCAAAAATTATATAAGTAGGGTAGACGTGTAGATGTTATCCGGCTGAACAAAACGTGCATTTATCTAACAGGTATGTTTCCCACAGATCTTATTTCGAGCTATTTTCTAAAATCCTATGGAGAAATCTCATTGCTTTTTTGTCGAGGGAAGCCAAACTCAGCTTACTTCCGGGTTTTAGGACGCGTCACTGCAGCTCTCTCGTCTCCTCTTCACACACCACACTTTTCGCGGCACACATACTTACAGCCAATCAGCTCTGAATGATGTGAGATGACGTATGGTAGGGATGGCAGCTCAGTGCCCCTATGGTCATTATTTTTTTGCCACACACATTAAATAGGAAAATACTCTGAGCATGCGCAGTGTAGTTTTTACAATCACCATTCAGTTAGACAGTGAGAGGGAGGGGCATGATCAGGTTTTGTCCCACATGGCTCTAAACAGCTCAATAGGCACACACTGTAGACACTAATTAGAAGAACATAGACTAACACAGCAATGTACAGACGAATCGGATGATTAACCATGATCTTAAAATATATTTATTTATTTATTTAATTTTTTGTAATCATTATTTGTAATACTTTCTGCTGACACTAGGTGGGGCTGTGCATCATCAACTTCAAAACAAGCTACAACCGCGCTCTGGTATTAAAAATAGCACTCCACTCCTGATCACATGACACATACTATATACATGGATTTCCTATTTTAAGTTGTTGATAAAAAAAGTCCTACTTTGTTCCAAACGGACCAAAGAAATATAATGATTGATCTGGTGGCCCATAAGGTCAGAAAGACATAAATAAAGCAGTGACTTGATTGGCCGGTCCGTAGTTTAAAGAGTTAAACGTGGCTGCCCGGTGAACACACCATTCGTGATCAAAGTGATCAATAAACTAAAGCTCAGCCTCAGAATCAAGAGAGAGTCTTTTATTCAACAATATTTAGAAACATTGGAAGAAAAAGATCACAGTTTGACATTCAGAACATTACAGTATGATTCCAGATATTACCAGAAGAAGCAAAGAAGCCAATTGGTTTTCAGATGTTTACCATTATAAACACAAGACGCCATTTTGTGAATCCAAACAGAAATGTTACATGTGTCTTTATGAGTAAAGACCATGTTAATCATAGGGAGACACGTTTGAGACAGATCTGCTTCCCAGTGCAGAGTGTGTGTGAGACAGGTGTGTGTGTGAGACAGATGTGTGTGATGGTGAACACACTGAACTGATTTCAGCAGCTGATCTGCAGTCAGTTTCTGTCGTCAGGAGAGACTCTCAGACCTGCAGAGGAACCAGAGACACTGAGGAGAGACTCTCAGACCTGCAGAGGAACCAGAGACACTGAGGAGAGACTCTCAGACCTGCAGAGGAACCAGAGACACTGAGGAGAGACTCTCAGACCTGCAGAGGAACCAGAGACACTGAGGAGAGACTCTCAGACCTGCAGAGGAACCAGAGACACTGAGGAGAGACTCTCAGACCTGCAGAGGAACCAGAGACACTGAGGAGAGACTCTCAGACCTGCAGAGGAACCAGAGACACTGAGGAGAGACTCTCAGACCTGCAGAGGAACCAGAGACACTGAGGAACCAGACCAGAACCCAAACCCAGCATAGAGAGGTTCAGTGAATGTGGTTCTGAAGGTGTGGAGGTGGATCAGTGTGTCAGAGGAGACTCTGTAGAAGGAGAGAGAGCCAGCAGGATGATCCACATACACTGCTACTCTACCAGAGGGGGAGGAGGAGGAGGAGAAGGAGGAAAAGTGTGTTGCTGTCTTATTGTGACAGACAGAGTAACCACCACCCCAGCAGAGCAGACTCCAGGACTGATCATTCTCTCCAAACCTACAGTCCTCACTGTCTCCTCTGCTGATTCCTCTGTAAGTCACTGATATATGAACCCCTCCTCTCCACTCGACCTCCCAGTAACAGCGACCAGTCAGAGCTTCTCTGCACATCAGCTGAGGACGGGAGTTAAACCTCTCTGGATGATCAGGATATCGCTGCTCCTCCTCCACACGTGTCACCGTCCTGTTGTTGTCAGACAGTTTGAGTTTCCTGTATGCTGTGTTTGTGTCCAGCTCCAGTACACAGGCATCTGATGGAGAGAACAGCTGCAGGTTATCATCTGTTCATTTATTAACTACTTTACTGACAATCACAGAAATCATTCAGACTGACGTCTCATATTCACTGAGAATGATGTCTAACAACCTGATCTTCATCAGTAGGTGATCCATCAATGATCTCAGACCTAATACTTATTATTGTAAAATAAGAGATAAGAAAAGGGAAAGAGCATCAGCGTTCAGCTGTTGATATACTGTCACTATCCAAAGAGTCTAATGTGAAGAAGCTTTCACAGGAACATGTTTAAATTATATTACAGTTTTTTTCAGTTGCTAACACTAAAATCTCACATAAAGCATAATTAGTTAAACTCACACTCAAAGAGCCTGAGCTCAAAACGAGGGATTACGTATGGTAACCCTTGTTATATAAGCACAGGTGGAGCCCTCTACTGGACTCTATGGGTACTACCTTATCATGCAAGCATTCACCTACTGAGATTTCTATAGAAAGCCCACCGTATATAAGGCGGCTAGGCCTCCCGTTCCCGTCATCCTACACTTCTCTTCAACGAGCAGCTTAGGACAGACAGGGCCCCCCGAGTAGAGGGCTCTGCCTGTGCTTATATAACAAGGGTTACCATACATAACCCCTCGTTATATCTCTCACAGGCTCCGCCCTCTACTGGACTCTATGGGTACAGTAGGCGGAGCCCCGATGTATACACGCACAACAACACTGTTCCATCTCACTGTCTCTGACCGGCTTTCTGGTTAGCAGCCGCTGCGCCTCACTCACCTCTCCCTCGGTCGTAACCGTGGAGAAGTTGGGGCTGCGCTGCGGCTGACAGAGCACACTCTGACGCACCTACCTCGCGAAGGTATGCTTGGAAAACAACGCTGAGGGCTCAGCCCCGTATGGGCTCACTATGCACCACCTCTCCCGAGTCCCTAAGGAGCACGGGGAGAGCGCAAGTGCCCGATGTCCCACACTCAGACACGCTCACCTCGTGAAGACCGTGTATGGACTATGACGTAGAGGGCTCCCCCCTCCTGCCCTAAAGCAGGGGGAAAGAGTCTTCCAGCCCCTATGGGCCCAGTGCGAGCCACGTCCCCCGGAACCGGGGGCCCGGGGAAACGTAAGCGCATTACGCCCGGGGAGGGGGTCAGATGCCCACTGACCCACAGCCCCCCTCTCCCTCCTCACCAGTCCTGTGTTGACCCAGCAAGCACAGACGATGAAAAGGAGCCAGACATGTCCAAGACATGTCCATAAAACTTTATGAATGGGGCCTGGCGTTGACCAAGACGCCGCCGTGCATATGTCCTCCACACTCACGCAGTTAAATAAGGCTGTTGACACAGCCATAGCTCGTGTAGAGTGTGCACGGACCCCTGTGGGGAAGGCTCTCCCCGCCTGTCCATAGGCATGTGCAATGCACTCACAGAGCCAGCCTGCCAGGCGTTTCTTGGACAGAGCTTTCCCGATCACCCTGCCCCCGAAGCACACAAACAGCTGTTCAGTGCGTCTAAGGGCAGCCGTGGGCTCCACATAACATGCTAGCGCACACACCGGGCAGAGGAGGTGCAATTTAGCCTTGGGGTGGAAGATTAAAGCCC